GGGATCGGGTTCCCGCCTGCCCCTTGCATTGCTCCGGCAGAGGGGGTAGTTTGGAAGCGGTGGGGTCAAACAGGGAACTGATTTCAGTCTCAGTTGCTGCTGTGAGTGTGTCGGCAAACAGGGACCTGTGTTCCAGGCCGGTACTTTAGCTGCTGTTTCTCAACAGCGAAGCAAATACCGAGCGATTTTCTCCTCAATCCTGCTCAGTCCCCAGTGTTATCTCAGGGGACTGTTTGAACTGTTCGATGGTAAACGCCAAATAAACCCGGATTTCTCAGTCAGTTCTGCTGGTGCTACCAAAGGACAAGCAGGTACAAACTGCTGTCAGCCTAGAATGGAGATCCGCCGGTCTGAATGACCCCATCCTGTGGTTCTACACATTGCGGATGGACAAAAGTCTGTCTGTACATTCTCAGTACATAGTCGTGACTGTGAAAGGCAGTGCCTGTACGCAAAGTAGTTTCTCTGTGCAGTACAGTGTCTCCCTATAATACAGTGTCTCTCTGCACTGCAGTGTCTCTCGACAATGCGTTGACCTTGTGCGGTGAAGTGCAGTGAGCTTATTCACAGAATACAGACTATCTCCCTGTACACCTGGGATGACCACCTACTCCTGTTAGCTGAAGCGGAAATTCGGTGAATTTCACATCTTAACATCTGTCCTTGTTTAATTTCTTCAGGATTCAAGACCAAAGCTGGAAGTTTCCCATTCATCCCTGACAACAGCTGCTCAGACCAATAGTATGTAATGTCATTATCAATATATTATATTCTTTTGCCAATGTCTGTCTCTGTGTCAAACTTTTTCAATATTTCTGTCTTGTCATCTATGCCTTTTCTAGTATTGCTGTATGTCACTTTCTTTCTCGGTCATGCTCTTTAGCTGTTTATATGTCCATTTCCCTGAGCCATCATCAGTGTCTTGAAAAAACTCTTGCAGCTTGGAATGATATCACACTCGAAACCTGAACTCTCTTTCTCCCTGCACAGATGTGTTTTCTCTTACAGTCTTCTCTCTCATTGTCACACTTGTGCAGCTGTCTCCTCTTCATTCCCTCTCTCTCTCTCTCCCTCTGTTTATCAGTCTGAGCTCTGTGGGTGATACAACAGTGACTGAACTTCCATCCTTTCCATTTCCAGGTTTGCCTCGTCTCATGAAACAGGTGGGGAGTGGCCCACGGCCGAGAATCGCTGCTCACCTGACAGGTACAGAACTGTTCTCAATGTGACTGCATCCTCTGGAGAATAGTCCACAGTGGCTGGGAAGGTGCAGGGGAGGACTGGGAAGACATCAAATTACTTTATCAATAATGCAATGTGGAGAGAGCACCACAGGAGGAGAGCAGGAGATTATAGAGTTCTGGGCAAAGAGAAAGGGGATTGGAGTGAACTTGTTCATCTGAACACAGAGACAGCGCAGACACAAGGGTTAAAATCTTTCTGTGATCGGCTTCTGTGTATGTGCCAGTGTGATAATTGCCCTCAAGTTAATAATTAAGATGCAGCCCACCCAGTTTCTCTGACATTGTAAGGTGTGGGACCTTGCTGTGCAAAGATTGTTTGCTCCATTTCCTACAATAGCATAGTCTTTCCATCAAAAACACATCATTGGTTGCAAAGTGCCTTGTCGTATCCCCACCTGTGACTGGTGCTACATAAATACAAGCTGTATCTTTGTCCTTGTTCGATCCTCATGATGTCTTCTCTGTCTCTCTGTTCTCCCCCTCCCCCTCAGCATCACCAAGTCGTGAAAAAGAGAACGTAATTTGGCAGAATGAGAGTGATTCCACCTTCACCGAGGGAGTGGAGTTCAGGGACAACTGTTTCATCATCAAGAGGCCCGGACAGTACTTTGTCTACACTCAGGTGGTCTTCCACAGCATGGGCTGTCAGCAACGGGCCATCTACCTCAGCCACGAACTCGCCAAGCTGTCACCAAGTTATCCTGAGGAAACCATTCTACTGAAAACTGCCAAATCCAGCTGCCACTCTCGCCAACGCAGGGAGCCCTGGTATAAAACCTCCTACCAGGGAGCCATCTTTGAGTTTATTGAGGGAGATCAAATCTTCTCCAGGGTTAATGAGGATGCAACGGGATATGTAGACACAACCGAAGGAAAGAGTTTCTTTGGAATATTTGCTGTGTAACAATCCCAAGTCATTTCCATTGATCATCAATGAGTGATCAAGAATTTCAATTGAAATTCAGTGCAAACTGACAAAGGCACATTGTCTTCTTGAAGAGCATTATACAGAAATTGTACTCCGAATCTGCTGATTCTGTTTGATATGAATGCAAAGCGTTACAGATTCTTTAATTTATTTCATATTTAAATTGTGTTTTCCATTTCTATGTTTATTTAAATTGGTACTCCTCACGGAGTCATTCAACTATCCCTGGAGGTAGGAACCATGAACCTGGGTCTGATATTCAGACTGATTATTCCCTGAGACTAGATACTGGCCCTTGGAGAGTATAGATTCATTCCAAAGAATCTCTGGTATCTTTGTGTAAACAAAGCAAGATGATTGAGTCAGCTGCAGGCTGATGAAGGCCAAAGCAGGTGCCCAGCATTGCAATGGCTTTCTAACTGCACAATGTAATTGGTCAAGACTTCATTGGAGCTTACTTGTCTTGCAACTGTAAGGTCAACATTGTAATTAAAATGGCAAAAGAATATTCAGCAAACACTAAGAATTTGACTCAATAAATGTTGACTATTCATTGTATGAAGGGACCAGTTGGTTTACTTCTGCTTAGCCAGTCGATGTTGGAGTGCTCTGAATTTGCTGCTCTGAACTAAGTGTAATGGTTGAGATTGTGTCTGAATGGAACTGCCACTTTCCCTTTATGTGTTGTACTCTCCTTTGGTCATCCTTCAGACTGGGTAACACACAGTGATCCCAGTGATAAATCTGATTGGTCCTGCATGCCGAAAGATTTTCCATGTCAACTGTGGGACGCTGAAATTTAATTGCAGTTCATGGACCAAACCCTGTTTTATGTAAAACTGTAACATCTGTTATATAGGTGTCTTTCAGTGGCAATAATATTGTCAAGTTTAAGATGTTCCAGATTGATATAAGTTGTTATTTAATTGTATTTATCAATAGTTGTATTTATATTATTTATGTTAATATTTATGTCTAAAAAGATAAATGGGAATGAATAAAACTATTTTAAGAGCATTAACTGTTTCCTTCTGATTATTGAATATTGATTTGGATTTGGAGATATTTATGGACAGTGTTTAAATGTGAGGATACTCTTGGTACTCTGTTGGAACTGACTGTTCCAATCCAGTGTTATCAAATTGGGAACTTGGGAGAAACAATCAGATGTTTGGTAATCTTGCAGGATGAGGAGATTGTGAATCTGAGAGAAGAAATCAGAAGATTGTTAATCTGGTCGGATTAGGATATTGCAAATCTGAGAGAAACAATCAGGATCTTGGTAATCTTGCAGGATGAGGGGTTTGGAAATTTGAGAGAAGGAATCAGAATTTGGGAATAAGAAACTAACAAGGGAAAGGAATAGATCATGTGGCCTCCCCATGAGCCCGCTGCATCATTTGATGAGGTCATGGCTGACGTTTGACCTCGAGGTGATTCTCCACCCAGAGTCTAGCATTTCTTGATGTCCGTGGAGTTGAAAAGCTTCTGTTCTCAACCTCAGTGATTGAGCATTGGAAATACTTGAACGAAAAGTTTTGCTAATGTTTCTCAACTCTCCACATGACAGCATTTCTTCCATCTCTGTCTGGAATGGTCATTCCACAAACCTGTGACTGTAGTTACAAATTTTTCTTTGCCTCATTGGGCCAACATTGACTCTCAGCATTTTTCCTAATGAGCTGTTGGATTTGGATTTGTTTCAAAGATATCACATTGTACTCATCGAAGCTCCAGTGAGCATTTCTCCATTCTCCCAATCACCACAGAGGACAACCACTGACTGAAGGAACCAAAGTTTTAGTCTATCATCTCCAACTCAATAATTCAATAATTTTCGGGCCTAAACTCTGCCATGTCCCATCCCCCTACCCCACACACCAGGCCTTGTTATAACATAGCCTGCCATTACACACCCCCTGTTATTAGTCACTAATGTCCCATTAACAGCTATTCACCCTCCCAGCCTGATCGTTATCAACTGTTTGTCTGTGCAACTGCTCTTCTCGCTCTTTAGGCTCTATCCTATCGCTAACTCCCTCCCCCATTCCCCCCCCTATTTTCTGCATATCAGCTGATGTTTTCCCACCCACCATCAGTTCTGGGGAAGGGTCACCCGAACCGAAATGTTAACTCTGATTTTTTCTTCACAGATCCTGCCAGACCTGCTGAGCTTTTCCAGCAACTTTGTTTCGGGTCTTGATTTACAGCAGCCACAGTTCTTTTGGTTTTTATTTAGCAACAAAAAGACGTGGCCAATATTACTCGTCTCCATACACACGAATAGGGAGATCCATCAGTTTTATTGCGGCAATGTCAGGATGGTAGGACAAGCCAAACAGAGACATGTACGGGAAAATCTAGAAGCCTGTTTTTCCATCAAGAAGGCCATCAATAAACAAGTAGAATTTGACCCTATTTACACACCTCTGCAAAGAAAAACCAGAAATGAGTTAATCAACTCCTACAGATCCCGGAGTTGAAATAACAGGCGGGAAAATACAAGCATGCTTCATCGGAGGCTGCACTGATGATGTTACCCAGCAAGGTAATGAAACGTGTGCAAAGGAACGAGCCAACTCGGCGAGCGAACTAACCACAGCAATCACAACCCGAGCTGCATTTAATTTCTTCAAGGAAGCCACTATTTAAAGGCTTTCTGTATTTAGAAGGATACCCAACAAAGCTGCAGCTATGGATTGACCATTGTTTGGGAGTTAACACCTTTTTTACCTTGTATTTTTGTCCATTTCCAGGTGAGCCTTTAAAACAGCTTAAATTCATCATTTGATGCAGACGTGAATGCAGTGGAGCATATGCAATGTGAAATAGTTACAAGTGATAATTAAAACTGAGAATCATGCATGCTATCTTTGTGCTCCATGGAAATCAAATGTTCATGTGAATGGAGATAGTAGGAACTGCAGATGCTGGAGAATCCGAGACAACAAGGTGCAGGGCTGGATGAACACAGCAGGCCAAGCAGCATCATAGGAGCAGAGAGGCTGACGTTTCGGGCCTAGACCCTTCATCAGAAAAGGGGGAGGGGAAGGGGGTTTTGAAATAAATAGGGAGAGAGTGGGAGGCGGATAGAAGAGGGATAGAGGAGAGGATAGGTGGAGAGGAAACAAACAGGTCGAAGAGGCGGGGATGGAGCCAGGAAAGGTGAGTGTAGGTAGGGAGTTAGGAAGGGGATAGGTCAGTCCAGGGAGGACGGACAGGTCAAGGGGGCGGGATGAGTTTGGTCGGTAGGAGATGGAGGT